TAAGCAAATTAGGCTCATGGATCTGGGAGTTAGGAAAGAAGAACAAGAGATCAACAACAAAGCGCTCAGAAATAGTTGATTAATAAGTAACAGAGCTTGGTGGAAAAAAGGAGAATTCAAAGAAATCACTTTGCTGAAAAGAAAAATCATAAAATCATTTACTGATGGCTGTAGCTATATGACAGAAATGTTTTTAAAATACTTTAATAAAAAACACTCTGTAGATTTAATAAATCTGCTATACTATGGCATTACTGGAATGGGCATATCCCAAAGATAGCACCGCACGGAGTTATATAAAAATTCTAGCAATGAGTGTCAGTAAGAAAGTCATTTTGTCTTGAATTCTGTATATGCTCTCAACACACTATTGAGTTCAGCAAATTATGAAAACTCACAGAAGGCACACTGAGATAATGAAGACATTGGGAGAGATGTTACTAAACAAAGCATGTTCCTCACTTCCCATCAGCTCGAGGCTGGAAGTGCTCAGAAGCCGACGCCAAAAAAAGAGCTTTAAACCAAATTTGGATTCACTAAGAAGAGATCTAGGTAGACAATCGGCAACAACTGAGGTGCAATGCTTTAAATTTTTATCTTTTCATTGTGGTCTAAGTGAGCGGCAACATTTTAAAAGAATGCACAAGCTGATAAAAAGCAATGGGACAAGTGATCTTTTCCTGCACAAGCATTAGTCTAGATGCTTCTAATATGAAGGCCCGGTGGACTAGGACATGTTTCAGCAAGTGGTTCCCTCTAAACTGATGAGTCTAAAAAACTCCCTGGGTTTAAGAAGTTTTCAAGAACATTATATCAGCGATGTTTAATTACTTCACTTAATATGTTGAACATGTCAAAAAAATTCCATCTCACAAATACATGGTGCATGATTACTACACACTGGAGGGAAAGAGGACATAATTGAACGTATCTTAAAGAAAAAAATAAAATCATCAGAAAATGTTCCTCGTGTATCCTCATGCATATTTTACTGCATTGTTTCTGCTGTCTAGTTTGGACCACACTGATTTCTGCCAAAAACATTTTTAACATTAACATATACTCAGGAGTGACCACAAATATATCTCAATATTGTTTTGTTTATTCATGTTTTGGTCAACTGCTTTTCCTTAGCTATTTTTTGAGGGAGAGAGGGAAGGAAAGCAAAAGAGAGAGAGAGAGAGAGAGAGAGAGAGAGAGAGAGAGAGAGAGAGAGTTTGCATGTGGAAGCATGAATGGATTTGATCTATGGGGTGCAGAACTTGGTATTTGTGTAGACCAGTTCAATGTGTCATTCTGTCTTCCTCAATCCCTTCTCTCCCTTCTCTTATGAGACAGTGTCTCTCACTGAACCTGAAACTCCCCAATCCCCCTAGATTAGCTGGCCACACAGGGGCATAGCTGTACCAGCCTCACCACTGCAGGGTTACATCTTGCCTGCATTTGATTAGAGTTCTGAGAACCTGGACTCTGGCTATCCTCCTTGCAAGGCAAGAACTTTACACACTGGTCCATCTATTCATCGCTGTGCTTAAATTATTTCTGTTTCTTATCATCTGAGACTAACCAGATTGTTTCAAGTAATGCATTGAGTCATTTAAAGGATGAAATTGCTTTAAATAAAATACCTATAATAAAAAACACACCCTAAGAATCCTTATGACAAAAGTGCAATGTCATTGCTAATCTCCAGAGAATATCTTTTTCCCATTTTAAATTGGCTTCTAAATTGCTGAAAGCAATTATTAACTTCAGTTAAAAGTTAAATTTGTGTTTTAGTATTTCTATTAATCCAATAAAATGTAAGGTGAAGCTAAGCTAAAGTGAAAAGTTTCAGGTAAATCTAAGTAATATATCTGTTTCCAACATACACAGTTTTGCTGTAAGCATGAAATCCAAAGCTCTATAATATAAGTAGGAAAACACAGGTCAGGCAGTGTTTGTGACTAAGGGAGTATTGATAGATGTTATCAGCATGATGCCAGTTGTTGTAAGTTCCAGTTGAGTAAACAGATCATGTTGGACTCTTTGGACGTTTTTCTATGTGTTAATAAAGAATATGTGACTCATTTAGATTGTCATGTCAAAGTGAACCTCATTTTCATTGTATTCAAACACCTTGTATCTTTTTTTTTAGTATAGCTTAAAAAAAACTATCAGTGGTATAGTACTCAGAAGAGATAAACATAAACAATGATCTAATTTGTATATTTTATCCATGTTGCCCTTTGCTCATCATTATTATATAAATTACAATGCTTACCTCGGTAGGCATTTTTGGAAACTTTAAAAACTTACTAAATATAGAGCTACTTTCCTAAACCACAAACGTATATTACACTCATTATAAAACTAAATACATAGTTAACAAAAGTAAAACAGCAATATCAACAATTATTTAAACATTCTGATAAACAAGTAATTGATATCAATTTTTAGGTTTGTTTTTTAATCACATGATGGGTGTGGTTTTTAATTTAGAATATGAGAATGTTTCCATTCCTGATGAGAGATAACACGGTATTAAACCCTCTCAGCCTATGACAGAGAATGGTCAGGGACAACCTGAGTGTATAGTGTGTTCTATTGGACTAACACTAAAATTGACTGTGTCGATTAAGTCTCTGTCAAGATATAATTTTAAGGGTGATTGTGTGAGTCTAACATGACATAAATCACTAAAATATTGTTATTTTTAAAAAGGAGAAATTCATACATGCTCAAAATTCCAGGGTGAATTAACTACATGATAAATATAAATGGACTTTTTTTCATGTTTATTCTCTACTTAGGTCAGACTTCATTCCAAACACTGAGTATTTGGAGCAATATTAGTTGTAAAAAATCTATAGTGAAAAATATAGATCGTAATTAGAGACTAATTTGATTCAACAGACATGTTTAATCAATATAGGACCAAATCTGACTTTACAAGGTACAATAATGGATTTTTATTTGATTATGCTAACACATACACATATGAAATAAATGGTCCCTGAATTCAAGTTTCTAAATGAAAATAACAGATTCTTACAAAACAGAAAATTTTACAATAAAACAGGGACAGTGTTGTTATTGATAATAAATATGATTACTATGATCATTATGAAAAGCAAAAATCAGTTAAAAATCCGTTTTTAGTTATAGCAAGTTCCAAGTTTAAAGAGAAGTACAATTTGCAAACATTGTACTCACAAATATTACAAAAAAAGAGAGTTGCTTTTCCATTTTCTGTGGATTGTCTTAACCTGACAATATGTCCTTAAAGGAAATATTAGTATTCATTAAAAGTATACAATTTTAATTCCTTAGAATCACATATCTTTTAATTTTCCCTTTTAAAATTGCTAATTATGGTTTTCTATAGAACATATTCTTAAAGTTACACAAAGCAAGGTGGGATTATTCATATTATTTTTGAACCATTTTATTTTTAAGAACAGTTCAAATCTATAACTCAGTTTAAGAAGACCTACCTCATCATGGTCTTTAAAAATTTGATTTTTGCTCTCTTTGAAAAAACGAGAATGTGTGAATACGTCTAATTTTGGGTTGTAGACTCCCAATAATTTATGTATTTATGCTTTTATAAAGTATAAATAAAATTAAGGCTAATCAATTATCAGTGATTCAAAAAAGGCATAATTAACAGCCTCTGTGATACTAAAGTAGTGTATCCTCTGTAGTCAACAGTGTTTCCTTGGAATTTAAAAACCTGAACACAATCTTTCATTTTAAAAAAGATCACTATTATCATCACTATTTATGACTCTGATGAGGGCCTCATTGGAACACTTGCCTGCTCTTATTGTCAAACATTAGAAACCATGGCATCAATAAATTTAATATGTGATTTTTTGAATTACACACTATATGTATATATATGTGAGTGTGTGTGTGTGTGTGTGTTAGATATTATACATATTTGGTTTGTTTTCTTTTCTTTAAGTTTCTTATAAAATCTTTCTTATTTTACCAGCTCCAATAGAAATGATACATCTTCAATATTTTTCAATCTTTATTTCAGTTTTATGATCCAATGAATATTTTCTTGATACTCGAAGGTGAAAAAATATTTCAAATACAATAGAATTTTCAATATCAGATAGATTTCGATTTTAGATTGAGTTGCCATGGGTTTTTTTTTTTTTTACCTCAATCGAGTATTATTCATGTGGCTTGACTGGAATTTAATTATAAAAAGTATCCATTAGCAAAAAGGAGACGATGTTATGGAGCAGATATTAAACAGGATAGTTTGATTACTGAAATCTTCAAAGGAAAGCTATCATAGGAACCCCAAGCATTTTCACTGTCATATGACTGTATAGTATAATCCACAATACATTTCTATATTGAACTAAGGGCCATAACGTCTGTAGTCTCAATGCTACAAGATTACTGGTCACTCGGTCACACAGTATCTCCAACTCTTATTATGGACTTGAGGCCTCACCAGCAAACCTGCTAATCTCTCATGAAAGCTCAGTATGAAGCCTACACACCAACACTATGCTCTAAATTTGGTCTAGTACATTTAACTTCATTCTGATAAACCACAGTTAGCTGCTGATACTAGCCAATATCATCAGGAAACATGAGACTAGGCCAGAGGTCATAACTCAGGGATAAAGTGCTTATCTAATATGCACAAGTCTCTGAGTTCAATACCCAGAATTACATTCCCCGAAAGGACTCTGACTTTGATTGGACCTTCAAATTACACAGAAATCAAGTAAACAAGGGTTCCACACTCTAGGGAAATATAGAACATCTGAAAATATTTTTCACAAAAACCAAGTCTTTTAAATATTGCCCTAACATCAGAACCCACTTTCCTGCTGACTGTATCAGTTTTCCATCCTCAAGTACTGCTTGAAACCAAAAATAATTTTCATCAACGTTTCTAAGAACTCACACTGTTTTCAGCACTAAGAATGTGGACCTTTACTTTATCTTAAGAGGAACTACTTTGATGTAAACTTTTGTGTGATACTTACTCAAATATGGTGGTTTGTAAGGCGCTCGTGTACTAGACAGCAATCCGTCCAGCTCCTTCCTCTCCAGGGTGCCATGCAGGGCCTTCTCTTTGCCGAAGGTGGAGAAGGACCTCTCTGCTCCAGGCTGGGCTTCGGGAGGTTCAAAGACCTCGGTGTCTGGAACTGAGTCCATGCCGGGAACGTGCAGGTTGCTGCGGTAATCTGCAGCCTGACGTCCATCAGAAGGGACAAATGAAGGCATCCAGCATCGGTCGGAGTGGCCCAGCGCTTTACATTCCTCGGTGCAGTTGGAGAAGAGATCCATACCTGGAAGAAGAGAAAACCGTAGAGAGAAAAAGGGAAGAAGCAAGGAACTCCAGCTGTCATCAATATGGGCAGCCATACGGTGGGGGAAAGTCTACAGGGAATGTAGTGACGCGTGAAAATATTTTACTAAATAAATTTTCTCTTAATCTTATGGAAACAAAAAAAACTTAATATCATTTCCCCTATCATTTAAAACAGGATAAATGATCAGCAAACGTAAAAGGGCTGACTCTATGGCAAAAAAAAAAAAAAAAAGTTGCAGAAACCGTTTTTTAAAAAAAAACTCAGAATACTGGTGAAAAAAACAATGCTGGCTGTCAACATTTTAAAAGTTGAGAAAAGGGGCTGGAGAGATGGCTCAGTGGTTAAGAGCATTGCCTGCTCTTCCAAAGGTCCTGAGTTCAATTCCCGGCAACCACATGGTGGCTCACAACCATCTGTAATGAGGTGCCTTCTTCTGGCCTGCAGAATATTGTATACATAATAAATAAATAAATAAATAAATAAATAAATAAATAAATAAATAAATAAAAGTTGAGAAAAAAGTGAATGGACAAAGCATATTTGAAAACTCTCTCATGGACTGAAAATAGAGAGAAACCCAAGCTACCTGGGCTTCTTAATCTACATCCTCTAACAAAGCATCAGCTGATATTCCTACAAAGACAGAAAGTGTCTGTCAAGGTCTGGCCACAGTTAGACAACAGACTTTAGATTTCAAACGGAAAGTAAAACTCAACAGTAACTCAGCCCGAATTCACAAAGGGCCAACGGCCTGAATTCTGTCCATTTTGTACATAGGAAATAGTAAGGTTCTTAGTTTCCTGGGAAATGAGTTCCTAAAGGTATCTGCCATTGGAACTCGGGCAGTCCACATGCCTATTAACTGCTTATATCTACCGCCTTGCACAAACCAAAAACAAATGACCATAATTAGGGTAGCCACAGGGATCAAAAGCACCGGGAAACTGCTACAGATGATATTGACATATTCCTTAGTGTTCATCTGTACTGTACATCTTCGTTCTAGTCAACACAAACTTGTATGCACCCAGATTGAAAACGACACTACAAATGTCATCACATTCATTAGACTAACAAGACTGTTAAATGCTACCTGATTGTGACCAAGAAAGTCCATCTAGTTTTTGAATCATGTACAAGAATTTGTGTGCATCGTATATGTACACATATGTATATGTATATATATATATATATATGTGTGTGTGTCTCCAGATGTGTGCAGATGTGCAAGTAACTATTTGTATATGCACATCATTTCTCAGCTGTTACCCACTATCATTTTGTTTGTTGTCTTTTGAGATGGAGTCTGTCACTGACCTGGAATTTGCCAAGTACGCTGTGCCATCTGGTCAGTGATCACTAAGGTTCTGTCTGTCTACACTTCCCCAGCCATGGGACAGCAAGTACATGTTCCAGGCTTCAAAGGCAAGCGCTTGACTGACTCATTTATCTCAATAGTCCAAGCATTTTTGATACCTATGGTATCTATTTTTTTTGCTTATTGAGCTATATACTTTTCTCTGCTCCTCTCCCTCCCTGGCCTCTCCCCTTCCAGCCTCTCCCATGAATCATTATAGATAGCCTCAAGCAGGTTGCTGGGAATTGAACTCAGGGCCTCTGGAGGAGCAGCCAGTGCTCTTAACTTCTGAACCCCATTGTTTGTATCATTTGCTCTAATTTTTGAGACAGGGATTCGCTCTTCAGCCCAAGCTGACCTAGAAATAGCTAAATAGCCTAGGGTAGCTTGAAATTCTTAATTTTCATGACTTAGACACCAAAATTCAGTCAACTGTCACCATGCCCACCCAACCTGATACTCACTTGGTATAGAGCACAACACAGAAAAGAATGTGAAGAAAGATATCATGCCAATGCTTTCCTAAACATGCTAGTACATTGACTGAATGTTTTAAATATTGATGAATCTTTCTAGTGTTTTAAGTTTATATCTCTTTTCTTTGTGTATGTGTGTGTGTGTACACATACTATATGGCACGTGTGTATGGGTTAGGTCAGGTCACAACTTGCATGGCTGGTTTCTCTCCTTCCACTATATGGTTACTAGGGATGAAATTCAGTTCATCGGGTTGAGTTTCAAGGACCTTTTCCCCACTGAACCATCTAGTAAGCACAATTTTGATTAATTTCAAATAACTAAAGCATAATTAATTTATATCATAAAGTCTTTCAAATGTATGGAAAGCTGGATTTAAAAGCTAACATAGAATATTTATTTAATGAGTACACTTGACTCTTAATTGCCCAAATATCTAGAAGTCTCGAGTTCTGAAAGGAAAATACAGTGCTTCAACTGATGTCCTATTACACACTGATTTAAATGAAAATGTTTATAGAAAACAGTATTTCAAAATAATAAAACTTGTAGAATTTCTGCAAGTTTTTTGAGTTAATGGGCTTTAACTATAAAAAAGTTACCTTTTGAGGAAACAATGCCAAGATAATTACTGTCTGTTAATCCCACTAAATAGCAACTTCGCTTTAAACAAACCTACGCATGATGCTAAACCCATCCTTCACTGTAACATTCTACTGATAACTGCCGTGGATGAGCCTGAAGGTGAATAACTAGTGAGTAATCTCCAGAGAGAATAAATACTGAAACCAGAACTACAAGATGTGACTGGAAATGGAATGGAAATCCTGAAGATGCTTCACTACACTCTAGACACATCTGCAAGAAGACAGGCGTGCTAAAAGAGAAAGAGAATGTTCCCGATGAGCATGTGTTCATACGGTGTACAGGCAGCGTCCCAGGCACGAGACTTGTATTTGGATCCACTGGTGTATAACTTTTTTCTGTTTTATGTAGTGATGGGAGAAAGAAGGCTCCTGTATATCATCTAAATCACATTGAAGAAAAATGATTATGCATAATTATTTTAAATATAAATCTGAGACAATAAATTTGAAGAATTATGGATCTTAAGTCCAAATTATTGGTGAAGAATTGCTATATTCCGCCATGAAAAGATAAATACCAGTGCAAGGTTTTCCACTTCATAACTTTTTCTTTATATGATTGATGCATATCATTTTAAATGGGTCAAATATGATCAAACATATGAAAATCCAGCCACTCACAACTTTTAAGTATTTACGTACAAGTATTCATTGTAATTCAAATTACTGTGATTTCATTAATTAACCAATATGCCAGAGTTAAGGTAGCTCTTGATGTTATGAATTATTTTGTATTTAGTTATATATTTAATTGTATGTATTTTTCATCTTGCAAACTGGCAATTTTTTCTATAACTCCTAATTAATTTTTCTATATAACAATGCTATGAATAAGAAGTATTCATAGCCTGTTGCTAACAAAAATTAAGGATTGCTGAAAGCTTGGTACAAAACATTCTCATTTGACAACAGAGAAATTTGGTAAGCAATGTTTTAAAAAAGTTATGAAGCTATAGAGTGAGACTTTCTTGGCAATATTATATATCATTGTATAAAACTGGAATAGAAGGTGAAGTGTCTGGAATAGGGCCTGAGTATTTCACCAGTTTTATCAATAAAACAAGTGGATATATTTCTTGTGATGAAAAATCAGTTATAGAAATGAAAATAAAAACCACAGCATAATCAATAAACTACAAACAAGAAACAGAGAAATTAATGGAAAATAGACTTTTTTCATTTGTCATTTAGATAAATAGTTGGAGAATTAAATAAATGTGTCCCATTAAGAGTCCTCATGCAGAGGAGCAACGAGATGACTAACAATGTTCTTTTATCATTCATCATTAGTCACATTGACTGTGTAACTTTAATTACCAAATACGTAGAAGAGTCTTCAACTTTTTGTGAAAACGTGACCACGTACCAGAAAAGATGTTAATTCCATTACCTGATGCAATTCAGAGCATCCACCTTGTTCTCACCAGTTCTTAAGGCTCAAATTGAAGGTTCAAGATTTAATAAGTTCAACATAATATTCTCTTTTTGAATGCATTTATGTTAAGTTTATGTTATGTGTGGAATCATGAAAAACATAGGACTTTTTTTTCAAATTTTGATAGCATCTACGAAATGTCTTAAGATATGTTATTTTACTTGCAGTTATTTTTTTTCCAGTCATTTCTTGCTGGTCCTCAGGAATAAGTTATTCTGCAGTTATGACAGCTGATATAAGAAACTGACTGTGTTACAAAGATAGACTCAGATAAATTTAATATACATGTATCTATATTTTAGACAATAGCTGTTGGTGGTTCTGTTGAGAAATGCTATGATGAAGAAAATTAGAAGTGTATCTACCTTGTGTTCCTTTCTGATAATAGTACAAGACAATCTTTCTTTCTAATCAAGCCGTCAGTATGTGTGTTAAAAACAAATTTAAAGAAAACAAACTCATTTTTGAGAAAATTTCTAGCCACCCTTCAAAGTATCCAAAAGTACTTCATATTAACAACAATTATAAGGTAGACATAATTTTTAAGACTTTGCCAGGGTGAGATATTTGTCATTATTCATTAACATATAAAACACACATCAAAATCCTATCTCTTCCTATCAGCTTTCAAACTACTTGTAGTTTTCTCCATTTTATCTCAATATTTTCTCTTCTCCATTTTTCCAGTTATAAGCATCCTCACTTTGTCAGATTGTAGCTCATAGTTCACCAGAAACCAAAACAAGCTTTAGCAAACAGCTGGAGTAAATCCCCTGTATTTATTAGTCAAGGCTTTTGTTACCACTACCTGAAATCTTAGTAGAATTAAGAAAATGATATTTATAGTTCATGAAAAATAAGAATTCACTTGCAGATGTTATAGCTATTCAATGATTTAATGTAATACATGACATATATATATATATATATTACTACCTTGAAAAAATGACAATCCTAGTTATTTTATTTTTAAATTTATATCCAACAGTTTACCATGTATGATGAATAAGTGTCTTAAATTCTTTTAACAAAATATTGTAAGACAAATCTGGCAAGTTTTAGTTGTTGTAAGTAACGACAGTATCTGATATTCTCCCTTTTAGCATACCTTTTGAAAGGGAAAGGCATTAGGATAAATTCACAACTCATTGTCGTATTTTCTTAGCATAAACATTTAATAAAGACCTATTTCTTACAACTAAATACATGTGTGTAAATACACTTTAGTAAGTCTTAAAATCATATAGCTAACATGCTATATCCTTATTCTAAGATAGAAAAATACAACTTTTAAAATACTGACTTACTAAAGAAGCTTGAAAATATGCTTTATTGAATTATTTTTCAGTCCTTGGACTACAGTTAAGCAGTTATCCTTTTGTGATGGCTTATTCAAGCCTTTACCACATCTCCCTGGACCCTTGCCATATCTAACCGATACATCAATTGTGTAGTGGGAAGAAAAGGCAGAAAGCACCTTGACAAGGCTATAAAAAGCACTCTGATATGGAGCAGTGGTCAAACCCAGGAATTTTGTGCATGAAGCCAGGTGCAGTGGCCAACTGAGAAAGCTTATGTGACTTCTCTGCAGCTGCCTTCTTGTCGGCAGCCTTTCTGTGAAGAAGGCTTGAGGCTGCTGCAAGCTCAGACAGCGCAAGAGCAGGAAGGAGAAAAAAAAGAACAAGACAGGAAACAACTCAAGAAGAAATAGATAGATGTTCTGTGCAGATAAATAAGAATAAAATAAGGTTAGCATAGAGAAATTGAGGAAGGAAAGCAAAAGATGGGAAATTTGCACAGGTGAAACAGTAAGCTACCTTGCGCACCTGCAAGGGGCACAATCTAAAAGACAGAATTCAGAGTTTTTCATTTTTCCACTGTTCCTCTCATCTTATTGCGTTTTCTCCTAACAAGTTTAGTGAGATTTGCTTAATTACCTCATTTTGCGCATTTAAAAGCTCAACCTAAGTTGTCTTTAACCAAGAAATAGATCACATTTTGGGGGAGCAAACTTCACTTCTGAACTATTCTTTCTAATTTACTGAGAGGTTGATAACACAAAACATCAGTATGAACTGAAAAACGTCACTTAGTGAAAGGCATTTTAATTTTATGCATCCAGATTTTAACACTAAAAACACTCAGAAACCTTCTTTCTATGAAATGAAGCCTATGACAACTGATCCATTCCACACGAAGGTGCAATGACTTCTCCCTGTAAGTGCTTTCTTACAACTGCAAAACAGCAATTATTGTGCCCAGTATATTGTCTCTACCCTGGGACCACTGAGCTGCATAAGTGGAGTGGTCATTCTATAACCCTTTTACACATTTAACAACTGAGCTATGGGGGCAAAAAGTTCAGCACTTTGATAACAAAAACTAGATACTGCTTTGCCTATTTAAACTGTATTGCAGATCAATTTTTTTTTCTTTTTCTCTTTTTGCATTTTAATGGTCCTTAAAAGGGTCTGGAATCCCAAGTTCTTTGGAAGAATCATTAACAAAATGGCAACACTGTTTGTGTGAAACAAAATAGCTCCCAGGAAGACATGGTAACAGGAATATCTAACAAATTTAGTCTTCCTTGAGAAGGCGTCTCCATTCCTCTCTCTTTGCATTGGTTATTAGGTTCATTGTGTATGTCTAAGTGACTAGACTAAAATGCTCACAGAGACTGGGGTGCTACTTAAAGGAAAAGAAAGAAAAACACAAAAGGGAGTGGGTGGGAAAGAAATAAAATGCATGCAAAGTAACATGTAGCAGAATTCTCTTTCTTGAGTTAAATGTTTTATTGTAAAAAGACTGGGGTTAAATTGGAAACTCGGGAAAATAGAAATGAATAGTTCTAAATGTACAGTTTTTAAATGATAACAATAAATCATATACCACATATAGGGCAAAAATGAAAGGGACTTTGTACTCACATATAAACTGCTGGCAAGGTCTGGTTTGTTGTCAGGATCCCAGACACTAAATAGATGCTCTGTTCACTTAGCGTGAAGGCCCGCAAGGGGCAGGGACCTCCGGGGATTCTTGGCAGTTCTCAAGTCTCATTAGGTCTGCATATTAATGACTTGCAGCAATATAAAGAGACCCTTGAGCAGTCTTTTTTTTCCTTTCCTCCTGCCCGGGTTTCCCAAGACTAAGCAGCCATAGACAGAGCCCACACTAGCCAACTGAGAGTCTTGTAGCAACCACTGCTGCCAGGTCCTGCGGGGTGTGCATTGCCCTTTGACACACTGCCTCAGCCCCATTCCCAGGGATACCAAGTGTTTTAAGGAATGAGTACTCTCTAGGACTAATATTACCCTGAAAATAAGGAAGTCCATCACTTTATAGAATAAACTGAGGTCAAGGATCAAGAGAGCCAAGTGTCACCGAGAGGTCGCTCAGTGATGGACATTTTTTAGATGTTTCAAGAATTTCCCGGGCTTTCCACCTCCTCACGTGCCAAATAACTACAGAATTAGGAAGAAAGAGAACAGAAAATATCTTTCGTGGGTAAAATTCAAATGGAAGTAGAGGAAGGCAAACAATTTTATGAAATTGCTTTTAGGTCAAAGTAGACAGTTTACTTCTTATGAGTTCTTTTAGTATTAGCAATTACTATTAGAATATCTTGCACATCCTTAAAGGTCAAACTCATATAGAGAATCATGAAGTAAAATTCAATTTGAAAGTTACATTATATTAAGCTCACACCTGTGGCCTTTAGTTACCACAAAGGTTAACCTACGTAGACAAATGCTTGAATTCAAAATGTAATACTTGTCAAAATACAAAGACATCAAAGATGCTTCAACAATTCTTATTACCAAATGTCTATTACTAATGTTCTGAATCCCAGAGACTCAGGGTTGCAAACTAGATTTTCAACCTATTTGTGACTCTTAAACATCATTATTTCTCAGGTGATATTTGGTACGTAAAAGATATTTCTCTGGAAGGCATGGGGTTTGAATTCTAGGGCCCAGCCATGTATTTATTTTCTCTTGCCCCTGTGGCATTCAATAAGCTAATCTGTCTCAGTTACTTCCATAAATAAGCCTAATTATATCCTAACTGTTTGAAGATAAGGAACTAGACAAGAGAGAAACACATGGATACCTCCACGTGACTGAAGTCCACTAAAGGACATTAGAGCAGGAATTCTTCATTGTCACAAGGAATTCCAACCCTCAACACTACAAAGTGATGTCACACGTTCCACAAGTTTCTTCTGAGCGTACAATGACCAAGAGAAGACAGACCATTCCCTAAGCCATTATCGCTTGGAAATGTATTTAAATTAACAGCTACACAATGGGCATTCAGATTCCTGTGTGGTCACACTTACCAGCTGACTGGCCACGATTGGTGACGTCATGATCACTGTCTCCCTGTTCACTGTCTCCGTGGCCACTGTCTTTAGAGCTTACTATGTCCGCTTCCTGGAATGCAGAACTAGAAACACAAAAAGGAGAATGTTAGAATAAAAAAAAAAAAGAAAGAAATGTAAAGAAACACAGAAAACATTCTTCTGCCACCACATGGTCACAGATATGTGCTGCAGACTCTTGAAATTCTTATGTACCTCTAGTTCCACATGAACCTCATTTTTTTTTTTCCATTTACATCCTGGAGCCTTCACAGTCAATTGGGACATCCAACATGTGAAGCGTGGCCATTTCTATGACTGGAGCTAAGTACATGACTATGACACATTCATAATATATATGTGGAAAAGTCATGGAAATTGGTGAGTATTTTATAATTTTCTATAAACGAAAACATTTTATAGCCCACGGTATACAGATAAACAAATTATATACAGCGCTTATGCTTTGCTCTAGATTAAAGTATTTATGCATTGTGTCTTTTAATATGAAACAACCACACCTACGTCTTACTTTTACTAGGTAGGAAACTGTTCACACACCAAGCTGAGGATTTCAAGGAGTTCATACCTGTTAACTCGGCGAGGTCTGTCAACTAGATAGCTGAGCTCTGCTCTCTGGTGTTTATTCTAGGAAAGAAAATAAATAAACAAAGAGTACTAAAATTCAAGGGGTGCAAAGGTCATTTTGCTTTTGAGAATGAGAACTATTTTGGATTTAAGCACTGGTATATATTTTAATGAATGTGCAGGCCTTCATAAGAGCACAGCCTGGTGATTGCTGAGTAGGAGCAGGAGAAATGTGTAGAGACATTTGAATTAGATTTTTTTAAAAAAAAAAAATTCAGGTGTAAAGGCTTCAAAAAAACTCGCTGACCCACAGTGAATGTATCTTACTGTAAAGGGAGAAAGCAAGCAGCCTCATAGCTGGGTTTAATATACTGTTGTGTCTACCGCAGAACAACCCTAATTGAATTCTGTGTCTGGTCCTTCCACAGGCTACGGAGTGTTTAAGTGCATACTGATGGACACAAGAAAAACAGCACGCTCAATAATCAAAAGTTTGGATAATTTCTCAAATTATTTTGTTGTTTATTTTCAAGAGGTACTTAGGATACAAATGAGCTGTACAAATATTCATGAAAGTCAATGAGTTATATCTGAGACTCAAAATAAGGAAATGCCAAGAAAGACTGCCATAATCCTGCCCCCACCTTCCCCTCAGGAAGCCCCTGCAAGCTCCAGACCGCCCACACGCCTCAGTCCAAACTTGGCTTTACATGGTTCTCCCCACTCCCCTTCCTCCAACTTTGCCACTATGTCTCTACCTTTTAAAAAGGAATTGGAATTGGCAAGCCAAATTCTTTGACGAAGAAAACCAACAGTGAGCATTTCCTCAAGAAATCAGTGGCAAGGAGGTAATTATTACTGAAACCATATTATTTAAGACAATTGTTCAAGCTTTCAAGTTGGTTTACTCTTGCAGGGTTTGGTGCCAAAGGAACTTCATTCAAATTCACACTGTGTGGGCATTCGGCTTCATGAGCTTGTGTTAGAGCTGTCCAGAGCAGAACTGAAGGTTTTTTTCCCTTCACAGACAAGTTACTGGTCACTAACACATGCAATTCAACTTAGGTAATCATATAAAGTTAAAAGATCTATAGCTCACTTGTACACGCGACTGAAAGCAGTGATAAACAAACCAAAATTGAACCAACTTTATTAATGCCTGGGACAGATGCAAAGAGAAAAAGACTTTTGCCAGTGAAAGGAACCCCCTCCCCCACCCTACTTTCTCTCTTCAAGCTTTTTCTTCTTATGTCTCCCAGGTTTCAAAGAAGGCAGGACCCTAAATAGGCAAGAGGGAGGAGGAAGCTAAGAGGTGTCAAAGAAGCCAAGGGGGAGGGAATGAAAATAAAAGCAAAGGGGTGGAGCGCAGTCAGGAACAACACGGAAGTTAGGTTACACTTCACGAGGTGAGAAAAGGTGACCCCCATTTCCTCGCCTTCCCACAGCCATACAAACCAGCTAACACCCTAAAAATACACAGTGCACCAGAAGAGATACAGGGCCGGGCTAGAGGAGGCTTTCTGATGGAGGAGATGAGAGATGGTGGTTCTTTCGCTTCAGCCTTACCTCGTTGGACAAAATGCTTCCGTTGGAAATGATGTCTGGTTGTTGGTCGCTGTACCCGGTGACGATGGCTCCGCAGGGGTTGTGCTCAGCATCTGTACTCCGGGAAGGGCTGCAGGGCTTCAGGAACATCAGGTCGGTCTTGGCGGACTCCGGGGTGAGGCAGACCTGATAGCAATAGTTCTGGTTGTGGTGATGGGAACCAAAGCTCCCGGACTCCTCCACGGGCACCTGGGCCGGGTTGCTGGGGACATTGGCGCTCTGCACCAACATGATGTCTGACTTGCTGAGTTTCTTCTTGCGCGCCCTGGCTTGGCGGCCGCAGCAGGTGGAGCCCCCGCTGCCACAGCAGCAGCAGCAGAGGCAGCAATCACTCGCTAGACAGGTGTAGATGTTGAGTTTTTTCTCCTTTTGACAGCGCACGGCTAACACGATCATGGCCAGCAGGAAAATGAAGGACACTGAGCCCAGGGCTATGATGAGGATCAGTGTGAGGTCCAGTGAAGTTTCCCCGCCGCCAGAGCGGCTGGTGCGCTGGTGCTCCCCGGGCCCTCCGCCTCCGCCCCCACCCCCGCCCTGGGGCTCCACGGCTCCATCCACCAGCTGAACAACCAGGGTGGCTGTGGAGGACAGGGGTGGTTGCCCATGGTCGCGCACCTCAATCACCAGCTCGTAAGGCCGCTGGGGGTCGCGCTTGGCTGGGACCCTGCGCGCAGTGCGGAGCTCTCCGGTGCGCCAGTCCAGGCGGAATAGGTTCATTTCATTGCCCCGCACGATGCTGTAGGTGAGCCTAGCGTTCTCGCCGTCGTCCGCGTCCACTGCGGCTACGCGAGTAAGCAGGTACCCCGGCTCGGCAGAGCGGGGCAGCACCTCGCGGGCTGGAGTCCCGTTGCGCCCCGGGAGGGGTGCCACGATGGCGGGGGCGTTGTCGTTCTGATCTACAATCAGGATGTTGACTGTGGCGTTGCCTGCCAGCGCCTGAGGGCTGCCGGCGTCCCGGGCTTCCACTTGAAAGCTGAAGTCCTTGATCTGCTCATAGTCGAAGGATCTCAGGGCATATAAGTAGCCGTTGTCCGAGTTGATGGACACGTAGGTGAAGACGCTCATGCCCTGGATCTGGCACTCGAGGATAGAATAGGTTAATTTGGCATTGGCCCCTTCGTCGCGGTCCGTGGCGCTCACCGCGTAAATGTAGGCACCCGGCACGTTGTTTTCTGTCACATACACGTCGTAGACCGGCTGGCTGAAGCGCGGCGCGTTGTCGTTCACATCCGACACTTGAACCTGGATGGACTTACTGGTGGAGAGTGCAGGTTCGCCCCGGTCGCGGGCCACGACTGTCAGGGTGTAGGAGTCCCCAGCCTCTCTGTCCAATGGGGCTTCGGTGACGATGGTGTAGTAATTCTTGAAGGAAGACTTGAGGCGGAACGGCACGTCTCCCAGCAGCTCGCACTGCACCTGCCCATTCTCCTCTGAGTCCCGATCGGTCACGCTGAACAGAGCCACCACCGTGCCAGGGGCCGCACCCTCGCTCACCGCCTCTTTCACGGTGCTGAAGCTGATTTCTGGTGCGTTGTCGTTGGCATCCAGTACTCTGACCAGCACCTTACAGTGTGCAGGCACAGCGTTGGGACCCAAGTCCTTGGCTTGGACATACACCTGGTACACTGGGCTCTCTTCATAGTCCAGCTCGCCGCTCACCTCCAGCCGGCCGGTGCGAGGCGACAGTCCGAAGAGCTCTCGAGCCCTGGGAGAAATGTGACTGCTAAATGAGTACACGACCTCGCCGTTCTGGCCTTCATCGGGGTCGGTGGCATTGAGCTGGATCACTAGGGTGCCAGGGGGTGAATTCTCTGGTAGGGAAACAGTGTAGACGGGTTGGTCGAACGCGGGCACATTGTCGTTGGAGTCGAGCACTCGGATGGTGAGCAAGGCCGTGCCAGTGCGCTGCTGTTGGGGGGGCAGGCCGACTCCCCCACCGCCTCCCCCTCCTTCCCCTCCTCCTCCCCCTCCTCCCCCGTCCACCGCGGTCAGCACGTAGCGGTGCACCGCTTGCTGTTCTCGGTCCAGTGGCTTCTCCAGCACCAGCTCGGCGAATCGGTTGCCATCTCCCTGGGTCTGCACGTCTAGCGAGAAGTAACTATTCGGGGTTATCTCATAGTCTCGCAATGAGTTGGTCCCCACGTCTGGGTCGAAGGCGCTCTCCAAGGGAAAGCGGGTGCCTGGCGTGGCGCTCTCTGAGATCTCCACTGTCAGGTCCGGCTCGGGGAAGGAGGGAGGGTTGTCATTGATGTCCAGCACTTCAATCTCCACTCGGAACAGCTCCAGCGGATTCTCCAGGAAGACCTCCAGGTGCAGGACGCAGGAGGGACTCTGCTTGCAGATCTGCTCGCGGTCGATCTTTTCGTTTACGTACAGAACCCCGGTCTCCAGATTGAGGTCCAAGTAAGGGGTCCGTGAGTTGGCCACAGTCTGAAACCTGCGAGCCGAAAGTTTTGTAATGTCCAAGCCCAGATCTTCAGCGATATTCCCCACGAAAGTGCCATGTTCCTGCTCCTCCTGCACTGTATAATGAAGCTGGGAAAAGACTCCGTCCACCATCCAGAGCAAGGCAAAGAATAGCAGCACAATCATCTCCAAAAGGAAAGGAAGCCGCTCCCCCGTAGCCAGCCAGTCACCCGAATGCCTCCCCCACCACCAAAACAATAATAATCTCAAAAATATAAATTAAATAGTGTGCTACGAGGGGGGCTTTTGTGGCTGTCTTAAAATTTTTATTCCTTTCACTTCATTTTAGAGCTTCCCCAAATCCAGCCTCATTTTTCAATCTTAACGCAGGAAGGGTGACAGATGTCCCCTCTGCTCAGATGTAATCTTCCCACTGACCAATTAATAAAATAACGATAATGCAATAGTCAGCCTCCTTTATTCCGACAGTCTTGGCGCAACGCGGCGCTGGCAAATCCCAAGGAGGAAATTTCGATATTTCAAGACTGTCCTAGGTTTGTCTTCTTTCTGATAGGAGGAGAACGTGGAGGAGGAAGAAGAGGAGGAGGAAGAAGAAGAAGAGGAAGAGAAGGAAGAGGAGAAGCTGCCGGCACCGCTGAGCATGCCTCTTGATGTCAATGGCTTGCAAACGCGAGCGGACTTAAAGACAGCGAGAGAATTTTGTGCCGGAGAAACACCGAGCCGTTCTGCAGCATAAAACTTTCATTCTCTTCCTTTCTCCGGATGGACGTTCCTCTTGACATTTTCTCCCCTCCTCGGCTCTATTTGCAATTCTTGGCTTTCATGGTCTTGTCTGTATCCTCGATCCAACCGTCCCTTGCTTTGCTGTAAGCACAGCGAGCGGTTTCTTTTCTGCTGTTTCCTTCCCAAGCCTTTCCCCTCTAACCTGCCTCTTTTCCTTTCAGTCCATCCTGCCTCCTGCTTCAGCCTTAAAGCCTGTGTTCTCGGCTGGCAGTTTCTGAGCTCCGAGCGCTCCGCTTCTCTGTTTTTGCGCAGCGCCCTCATTCTGCCAACCAATCGCCGAGGAGCACCACCCACTGAGCGACTATTCATTGGCAAGAGTGGCCGTCAAGTATACACGTCACGCGGCAGCCAGGAGGGGCGGGGCAGAACTCTCGCCTTGGCTGCCCGAGTGAGTGTGAGTGTGAGAGCGAGAACAGCCCGCAGGTCCCGAGGCGCTTGCTGGGGACTCTGCCGCGGAAAGTTCCCAGTCCCCAGCCGCAGGTAATGGGCAGGGAATAAGAGAGGTTCCCCTGTTTGCATCAGCAAATACGAAAACATGATAGCAACAGCTGCGGTAGCCTCTCCAAGGAGCGGGGTTTCCAGTGACGCTAACATTCCTTTTCCTTTAAGGTGTTTTCCCTGCTGCTGGTCGTGGAAAGAAATCACCAAGAAGGGGGGGAAAGTTGCCTTGGGGCCGTAGTCACCAGGGTTTGCCTAATGAAGGGACTCTGGCTGAGATGTGCGCGGACAATTTAAATGCGAACATAAAATGGCATGTGTCAATCAGAGCAGGAGGCTCCGTAGCGGGTGTGTGGGGAGGGTAGAAGAGGCTAAAATGGGAGGGCGGAGGTGAATTCCCCCCGAAAAGCGGAGGGATTCAAACCGTGGGACGTGGGGTGACAGCTTCTGTAGACGGGTAGATGGGTTGGACGTCTGCCCACCTAAAGTCTAACCACAAAATGCTTACCTAGTAGGTTAACTCGTTTGGGGACATTGTTTCGAACTGTGAAGACCCTAGTCAAGGACTGGCAGCTTGGTGATAGCTTTTACATAGAAGCCCGCCATCGTCAACCCCTACTATAAAACACCAGTGCCAGCACCACCCATTGCTGCGAGGCGCTTGCAATATCCCTGCGCCTCGCCTGGCCTCGCGCCAGGCAGCAGTGGAGAGCGCGGGCTTTTATTTTATTTGTCTGATTTTATTTTATTTTTTTAAAAAGATTTTCTCTTACAGTTGGCAATCCATCCCTATCTCCATACTAGAGGGGGTGGGGAGGGTCCATGTCCAGTCTGGGGACAGCTCTGGGGGAGAATGACCGTGGGATGGACGCTAGGGCGGGAGGGGCGGTGAGCCGCCGCGCGGTGCACACGAACAGGGTCATCGAGTGTGCACCTCTGCGGGAATCCACAGACACGTTTCACAATCCTGGTGCTGGCCCTGGTCGCGATGACCTCAAGCTCAGCTCGGTGCGAGTCCCTGGGGAGCAGCCCCAGGATTCTGAGCGACGCGCTTGACTAGCCGCGGGTGCCCACTCGCGAGGTGCATCCACACACCCAGTTCTCGTGAAGTTATAAGGCGGCGCAAACGAACTCTCGGTTGCTGGGTGCTGGAGAGTGCGTTTAATGCCCATTCTCCAAGGATAAATGTAGAAGTGTACGTTTTAATACTAATCAACGTGCTTTCACACGGAATAGGTTGTTTATTTTCTCGGTCCGGCCCCTTAAGCCAAAAACTGGACCCTGGAGGCTTTCTGCTAATGAACGACCCAAGAGTAAAGCCACTGGAACCTGAGGGAAGGTTTCTTGTCCACCCCCTAAGATACTTTTACAGTGCCTTCGGGCAAGGAAATAGGAGGTGCGCGTCCCCACGCATGATTGACACCGAGGCATGCTTGGAGCAGTCCTGAGAGTCCGTGCTTAACGGCCGGTTTCCCTAGTCCTAGCGGCTCTTGCTGAGAGACAGGTCTACCTTTAAGCGGGTTGCTGGAAAAGGAGCCACCAAACATGGCTAAGCCTTTTCCAGCTGCAGTGAATTGACCATCCGCCAAACCCAAGCTCAAACCGCTGCAGTTAAAAATGATTTTAGCGTCACATCTGCGGCGGAGAACGGAGCGGCAGAGCAGAAAAAGGACCTGTGGATCAATGAAAAGGGGCTCGTAGTATATCCGAATATTAATACACTGTGGCCATCTGTGCTTCCTGCCCCTCCTCCCTCCTTCAGCGTTATCTACAGCGTTAAAATGTAATTTTTCTAGCTCCCCAAGCTGACTCATCAGAAACCTAGAGCCCTGTAAAAATAATAATAATAGCATAAAATAAAAACACGACGGCAATGTTTTAATTTGTTTATTTGTACTTGCGGAACACTTGTGTGTGTGTATGTGTGTGTGTGCATGTTTACGTGTGAGAGACTTGCTGCGGAATGACGGTGCAGAAGCAAATGTGCCGGGGGAGAGGGTTTACCACTCAGGAAGGAGCTTCAAGTTTGAGCTGACTTAGGGCGTTTGCAGAAAGCCAGCGATCTTCCCGAGGTGGAGATGAGAACGTGGAGAGATGGCCAGATTTCCCTGTAAATAATCAGTGCATCCACTGTAACACTTGAGCTGCTTTTTTTTTTTTTCTTTTTTCTTTTGGTGGCAGCTGTGTGTCTGAATGGAGACCTGCTCCAGAAACGTGGGTTACAGGCGTCTCCTAGCGGCGAAAGCGGCATAATGCAAGCGAGATAATTCTGTTGGCGGAGCCGGCCTTCGGAAGGGCTTGCCTGTTGGGGGCTCTGCTGGATTTCGCAGGTCACAGAGGCCGGAGTCCAAGCCAGCAATGCAAAGCCGGGCTCCTCCACAGGTCTGGCCTCGCTGGCTTTTATTCTCTGAGGTGCCAGCACTTGGACCAAAGGGGTGACAATAGAGTCTTCGTAGTCAAATAAAAACGATCCAGGCCCTCTGCTTTCCCTGAGAAAACTCCATCCAAGGAAGATTGCCAGAGCAGTTTGCTCGCATCCAACGTTTGCAGGTGCGCATTGTAGTAAAGTCTTTAAAAGAAACCAATCCCGTGGTTTTGAACGCAAAAACAGGACTTAAAATTGTCCTTTCAAAGCTGCCTTTTGAGCCTAACATGTATGTTTTCTGTCTTAGTGGTAACTAAGCAGATAGCTTCCCCCTCTACCTCTCCTAATCTTTTCCACCACCCTAGTTTGCCTCGGTATTTAGTGAAGTGACCTCTATAGACACAGCAGTCTGGGAGAGGGGGTGGCTTCTTTGAGGTATGGAGTAGTAAGTGTACTTTGTTCCTGAACTCTGTTTTACTGATGTGCTGTTGCAGACGCAAATGTGTGCATGTAATCTTTCAACCTTCCTCTCTTGGCCTCTGCACTCAAACAGCGCCTGTTCTCTGTACCACAACAAGCTGCAAGCCAGGATTGGACGTAGTGTTTAATAATCATTTGGAGAAAGATTATAAAAATCAGCTTTTATGAAAATCTCGGTTTATTTATGAATGGGGTAATGCATTACATATATAATTTCTGCCTAAGGGAGGCCGAAATAAGAAGGCACCAAGAACATGGTAACTAAATAATAGGATTGCCTTTTTCTCTACTACCTCTTGCTGGAGTGGGCGGAAGAGAAAGGTCTGTTAACTAGCTTTTAGATAAATGAGTGTTTGCTGTGATTTAATGTGACTCCAAAGCAATCAGTTTTAAAATCCTCTTATTACTGTGCTGTGCTTAGACCTTGGTGGGAAAAATCTGAAGTTTCATCGTTTTGTAAGATTTGGAAGGAATAGTTTGAAATGCATCAATGAGGATGGTTTCAAAGACTAAGTAACACCAGGATTGAGCTGGATGCTTCCCTGCATGTGCCACTCCTAAGAAGGCCAACCCAGAGTATAAATGCCAAGGGCCTGGCACAGTTGCACATTTTAGAAATATCGAAGAAATAGGTTCATATGCACTAGCTTTACACAACGTAAGGGGGGGGAAGCAAGTCTTTAGAGCTAAACTCACAAACATAATGCTTGCTCCATTTCCTTGTAGCAAAGGGTGGGTGTGGATGAGAGCTTTGGAAAAGATTTTTACTGTATTTTACTAGACTTATGTCCCTGACTAGGAACTGTGTAAGGCTTTGAACACAGCAGAAAACAAATCAGTTAGTCCTTATTCTTCAAACTAGGAACGCGAGGTATTTCTCTGAGTTCCACCGTCCTGATAGTCCAAGTAGAAATGTGCATCTGCACTTTGTTTAACCTAGTAAGTATTGGTTGGCTTCACACGGCAGCATTTTTCCATTCATCCAATAGGGCCAGTATTTTGTTAAACGCTAAACAGTGAATTAAAAGCACTGGATGGGCTGAAACAGGCCTCTAATGTAAAATGACAAATTGCACTTAAGCAATACATGAGCAAGAAAATGATTTATGGATTTTTACAATGGTCTGAGCAAATGAAAGCAACATGAATTATACATCCTAATGCTCCAGATATCATTTTCTAATAATACCTTTTCAGTTCAGATACTATACCCTCTTTGCTATAAGAGAAATTGATCAGGGGTATTTTTAAATTAGGCAATGGCTTTTGATAGTTCATACAGTTTAGTCTCTCTCTCTCTCTCTATCTCTCTCTCTCTCTCTCTCTCTCTCACTGTGTGTGTGTGTGTGTGTGTGTGTGTGTGTGTGTGTGTGTGTGTGTTAGGGGAACTCTAAGAACAAAAGATATTTCATGAAGTGCCTAAAATTCCCTTAAGATTTAGATAAATTTTTACATGGTACTAGCATTTTGAGAATGTTTAGTGACATTGGAGTTGTGATGGGACTTAGCTGCAGCACTTTCATTTAGTCGTTTGTAACTTTAGAGTATGTCTTTCTTGGTGCTGTATATTGTCAGTGAAATAACCTCTGTTGGGTTGCATACTTAACCAAAGGCAACTGCTAATCACCCAGAGGTCTCTCAAGTCATATTACTAAGCATCATCTTAATTATCTAGTGTCATTAAAAAAGAAGAAAGAAAGAAAAAGAAACTAAAAGAAAAAACCCTCTGAATCCCAATTTCTGCCTTTGACAACATTAATAACCACTCTTACTAAAAGATTACTGAAATCAATGATGTGATTAGGATTGTAAATAAGAGCTACAAGATATCAGATTTTAAAAGCCAGCTGCTCCACTAACAGGGAGATGTGTAGATTTTACTGATGGAACCCAGAGGCAGAAAATGAAGCTTCAAACACTAGGGTCGATACAGAA